AAAAATAGTCAAGCATGATTGTGCAATGAAGCAAGAGTCAACAGTCTCCTAAAATTTCCAACAGTTTGGTTTGTTTGCTTACTGCTTTCCTTATGTCTTTTACTGTGATACATTGTGATTACATTTAGGATTAATCATAATCTTGTCTAGTCAAAGTTCTGTTTTGTTGTGTTTTTCAACAATACCCTTGAATCTTAAATGGCCCAATTTGAAACTAATGTTCCATATGACCAACCCTTTGCCAATGAATCTAATGTTCAATTTTATTGATTTTTCAATCAAAAGAAATTCAAAAAGGAAGCGAGATAGTGTTAAAAGTGGAGCAAGAGAAGGAGATGAAAATTCAACAAATATGTGTGATTTCATGTGATTCATGAGAATCATGAACATGTTTACACAAACGGATTATTTTTTTTTTGAAATTATTTCACTAAATCTTATTAATATATTATTTTTGGAATGTAAATCAATATTAATTATTTTATTTGAAACGGTTGCATTTTAAAAATTGAAATTTAATTTTAAATTAGGAATTGACTAACATACCCTTTTAATTTGATTTTAATTGTATAATTAATATATTAAAATGATTGTTGAGATTGGTTCTCACAGTTACTACAAACAACTCAGTTCTCCCTTGAATAGGATATATATATATATATATATATTCGAGAATTTGTAAATGTTGTTTAAATATCATAATGATTGTAACGGTCTTGTTTTGATGATGTAATTGGATCTTGGTCGTCGGTTATACTCGAGTATTGACGATAGTCGTGGTTAGTCAATATGAGGGACGATCATTGTTATCTACTATCATATGTCGAGGATATCATTGTCGATGGTAATATCATAGTCATAAATAATTATCTTAGTCGGTTGTTGTTATGGATGTTTTTACCTAAATAATTCTTCATTAAGATTTGAATTTTAGAACTCATTTGAATTTCAAGTTTCGCTCCAAAAGTTGATTTCAACAGATAAGATGACACGTGGTCTTGGAAACTGATTCTCTTAAGATGAAATTGATACAAATACATAAAACACAGAATTAATTTTTGTGACCTCATGCGTAATATGGGACATACATCGCTTATCGGGTGAAGGACGTGAACCGTTAGGACAACTATCACCTCTTGAAACGATGATCTGACATGCGTTATCATAACATTTATCCGAGAATCAATATAAATATTGATCCCTTTTCTTTAGTGTCTTTTTACACCTTCGAATTTTTGCAATTCAGAACAAAGAATCTTTGCCATATTCACATTCTACACAAGATCAATTCCTTTCGGAGCTTTTTGATAGTATATAAGGCACGATTTTTGCGTTTCTGGTATGCCCCATTTTAAACACACATCTAATAAACCAAAGACACATTGGGAATTTAGAGTCCTTTCTCATGCGTTTGTTTCTATCACAGAGTGTAGAGAGATGGCCGAACCATCTAGCATCATTGAAGAACTAGGAGATTTAGAGGCCGTTAGGCTTTTATCTAGACTAACCCATGACATCGACCTGTTTTGTCTTAGAGATCTTCGACAGGAAGAGTATGTTCTGGGGTGGTTCATCCTATATGAATACCTCTTTCAAGATTGGTTTCACTTGGCATTTCTTTTCTTTATCAAGGGAATTCTTTAACGCTTTTGATCTTTCTCCAGGGCAAATGATGCTCTATTTTGAAGGATTGTCAGCGTTAGTGACAAGCTGAACTTATGTCAACTTATACCGTTAGGTCTGAGAGTAAACACCAATACAACCTCTACAACAATGCTATGTTATGTTAAGGTATGGAGAAAACAACCCACATTTCCGGCAGGAAATGGGATAAGGGTTGACCTTTATAGGCCTCTCTATCCAACTTTTTTCTTTCAATGACTCTAAGAAATAATGTTCTCGAACATAGGGGAATTCATATGATAGATTATACGTTTGGGGAACGTCTAGTGCCAAAGTCACTGAATGGTAAGTCGCCAAAATTCGAAGGCTAGTGAGCAGTCCTTCCCCCACAAGAAAGGTTCATGGATTGATAAATGGATATACCGTAGTGAGGTGGGGTTTTCGATCCCAAGTAAGAAGACCGAACATCTCTTGGGTGTCGTCATTAAGAGATGAAGACCAATTGGCTAACGTTCGGTTGGAGCACAGATCGTAAGTGAGCATTTATCTATGTCATCTTAATTATTTTCCTTGATCATTGACGACTAACAATTTTATATTTAATTTTTTTTTATATCGGTGGACTTTTTTATGGTGTCTCCCTTATTGGACGCTAAGTAAAAACTTGAGAAGTTCCATCAGCTGCCCAACAAGGATTTCACACAAGCGACCAAGAGTCAGTCGCTAATATTCGAGTAAGACGATGATGTTGAGTTCATAGGCTCCACCGAACTTGTTGAGGAGGACAAGTCGAGAGAGTAAGAGGAAGGAGAGGTAGAGATGGCATGTGCTATCTTTCCTTTTCTAATATGTTTTTGATAGGTGAGGAAAGACCTGGGAAAAATCAACTCCCCTCTCAAAGAAAGAGATGGATGCTGCTCTTGCCCAAAAGGACAAATATTTGAAAAGGAAATCCCAGCATCTAGGATGGGATAAAGAAGAATAAAACCAATATGCAGAGGGCACTGTCTTTGGTTATCGACGACCAATCCAAAGTCGTCAATCTAGAAAAGACAAAGATTCCTCTCCTAGGTACGACACCCCCATCTCCTGCTAAGGGGGTATATAAATTTGTGACGACTTCTCCTAGAAAAGATAAAGGGAAAGAGAGGGGAACCCAAGATGTTGCTCAAACTCTGATTTGTATCAGGCAATGAAGAGAAATAGACTCTACGTCAATTAGCCACCCAAGATGTTGCTCAAACTCCGGATTGTATCAAGTATCTAACAGATAATCAGAAGTTTGTTTTCAAGACTGGCTTGGTTCATATCTTACCCACATATCACGGGTTGGAGAATGAGGACCCTAATAAACATTTGAAGCAATTCCACATAGTTTGTCTTATCATGAAACCGACTGAGGTTACAGAGGACCTTATGTAGTTAAAGGCTTTTCCTTTTTCTTTAAAGGACCGTGCTACAAATTGGTTATACTTGTTACCCACTGATTCGGTAACAACGTGGAACCAAATGGCGAGGCTATTTTTAGACAAATTTTTTCCCGCCTCTCGAGCTGCTAACCTTCGTAGAGAGATTTGTAGTATTAAGAAACGAGATGTTGAAACTCTCCATGAATATTGGGAGAGATTCAAACATCTTTGTGTGAGTTGTCCTCAACATGGAATCTCGAAACAATTGCTTTTGCAATACTTCTATAAGGTTCTCCTTCCGATAGATAGAAAGATGGTTGATGCCGCAAGTGGCAGTGCCATGTTTAACAAAACTCCAATCGAGGTTAGAGCTCTAATCACTACTATGGCCGAAAATTCCCAACATTTCAGTGTAAGGAGTGACATGAGGAGAGAGCCAACGAAGGCCAATGAGGTAAATGTTGCGAGCATCGAGAGTTGTTTGTATGATCTTATTAACCTGGTAAAACAGCTTGTAGTAGGTAAAGAACAGGTGAAAGCTTATGGAATATGTTTGGCAACAGGCCATCCAACCGATGCATGCCCACAACTTCAAGAAGATGAGTTGGTGACGGTCGAAAATGTGAATGCCATAGGAGGCTTTCAAGGTCAGCCACAACAACAACGGTATTTCAACAACAATTTTGGCAACCAAAGACCGCAATTTCAAAATTTCCAGCAAAGGCTGCCACAACAACAATTTAGCAAAGAGCATGCTTCAATCCGAATCAAGCTACTTCTGGTAGCTCAGGTATGTCTCTTGAAGACATTGTCAAAAGTTTAGCTACTAACACTCTTCAATTCCAACAGAAAATGGAAGCAAGTATTCATAATCTAGGAGTTCAAATGACACAACTTGCTACTTCTGTGAGTCGGATAGAATCTCAAGGAAAGTTTCCTTCCCAAATAGAAACGAACCCGAAACAAAACATAAGTGCAATCATCTTGGGGAGTGGAAAAGAGCTTGAAGAACCAAAGTTGGTGAAGAGTAGAGTAGTGGAGAAAGAAAATGAGGTAAGTCCAAAACCGGTTGAAAGCGAGGAGCAACCGGAATCCACCATTTATGTAAGTGATAAAGCAAAGGTAATTCCACCTCCCTTTCCTACATGTTTTCAAATATCTAGCAAAGCTAGAGAAGAAAAAGAAATTTTAGAAACTTTTAGGAAGGTTGAAGTGAATATCCCTCTTTTAAATGCAATTAAACAAGTCCCTCGTTATGCCAAGTTTTTGAAAGAACTGTGTACCAACAAAAGAAAACTTAAGGGTAACAAGACGATCAATATGAGTGAAAATGTGTCGTCCATGTTTCAAATGAAGCTACCCCTAAAGTGCAAAGATCCTGGTGTTTTCACCATTCCTTGCAAATTGGGGAATGTTACGATCAATAGGGCTATGCTTGATTTGGGTGCATCTATCAATGTGACGCCATACTCTATCTTTAATATTTTAAATATAGGCCCCTTACAAGAAACTGGGGTGGTTATTCATTTGGTCGATAGATCTGTGGTACACCCGACATGGGTATTAGAGGACTTATTGGTTCAAGTGAATGAGTTTGTTTTCCCCTCTGATTTCTATGTCATTGATATGGAGGAAGATTCTCATCAAAATCCACATCCATTTTGTTAAGGAGGCCCTTTCTGAAAACTTCAAAAACAAAGATAGATGTTCACAATGGCACACTTTCTATGGAATTTGATGGTAGTACCATTCATTTTAGTATCTATGAAGCCATGCGTTTTCCAAGTGATGTATCCTCTCTTTTAGCCACAAAAATTATTGAACCTATTTCTCAGGAGTTGTTTGAATTGACACATTTTGATGCTTTAGACACTACCTTGAGTAGGTCTTTAGACGAAGCAAGAGTGACTAAACTCATGAAGATGATTGAGCTCGAACCCGAGTTTCATTAGCTAGTAGCCTCTATGGATCAAAAGAAGACATCAAGATATGATATTGTATAACTCTCTTTACTACCATCTAACAAAAAGCTACTTCCTTCTATTTTTCAGGCACCGAAAGTAGAGTTAAAGAAATTTCCCTATCATCTCAAGTATGCCTATCTAGGAGAAGGAGAAAAGCTACCGATGATCATTTCAAGTAGCTTAGATACATTCGAGGAGAAGAAGCTTATATTTGTGCTCAAACGATACAAGGAAGCCACTGGGTGGATGATAGCCGACATAAAAGGTTTGAGTCCATCAACTTGCATTCATAAGATATTAATGGAGGATGATTTCAAGACGTTTTGTGAGGCTCAATGGCAGTTGAATCCACCCATGATGGAGGTTGTAAAGAAAGAGATTCAAAAGTTACTAGATGCATATATGATTTTTGCTATTTCCGATAGCAAATGGGTAAGCCCGGTGCAAGTTGTTCCAAAGAAATCCGGAGTGACAGTAACGGAGAATGCCGAGGGAGTGATGTTTCCAAAGAGAGTACAAAGTGGTTGGAGAGTATGCATCGGTTACCGACGGTTGAACGCTTCAACACGAAAGGATCACTTCCCTCTACCTTTTATCGATCAGATGCTCGAGAGACTGGCAGGTAAGTCTCATTATTGTTGTTTGGATGGTTTTTCTGGTTTTCATCAAATTCCAGTTGCATCAAAAGACCAAGATAAAACCACGTTTACATGTCCTTTCGGCACTTTTGCTTATCGTTGAATGCCCTTTGGCTTATGCAATGCAGCAACTACTTTTCAGCGGTGTATGATAAGTATTTTTTCTGAATTTGTGGAAAATATTACTGAAATTTTTATGGACGATTTTACCGTCTATGGAAACTCTTTTGATGTGTGTTTAGAAAATCTCACTAAAATTCTTCAAAGGTGCATAAAGACCAACTTGGTTTTAAATTATGAAAAATGTCACTTTTATGGTGAACCAAGGGCTGATCTTAGGACATATTATTTCAAGTAAAGGGGTTGAAGTATATAAAGCTAAAATAGATGTGATCAAAAGCTTACCCTACCCCACTTCGGTGAGGGAAGTCCGGTCATTTTTGGGTCATACAGGTTTCTATAGGCACTTCATTAGGGATTTCTCATACATTACCCGACCAGTGTGTAATCTACTTCAAAAGATGTGGAGTTCAAGTTTGATGAGAAGTTCAAGGAAGCTTTTTATAGGCTTAAAGAGATGCTCACATCCGCCCCGATCATGCAACCACCTAATTGGGACCATCCCTTTGAGATTATGTATGATGCAAGCAATTACGCTATTGGAGCGGTACTCGGGCAAARGGTTGGAAGGGACCCACATGTTATTTATTATTCCTCGAGAACCCTAGATAGCACACAAGCAAACTACTCAACCATGGAGAAGGAATTACTTGCGGTTATCTTTGCTTTGGAAAAAAAATCATCAATATCTCTTGGGTACTAAAGTTATTGGTTTCACAGATCATACTGTGTTGCGGTATTTGATAACAAAAAAGGATGCCAAACCAAGGCTCATTTCATGGATTTTGTTGCTCCAAGAATTCAACTTGGAGATTAGAGACAAAAGTGGAGCACAAAATTTAGTAGCAGATCACTTGAGCTGGATTGTCTCCATTGAAGAGCCATTACCATTAGATGAAAAGTTCCCATATGAGCATCTTTTTAAGGTGAAGACCTCAGTTCCTTAGTATGGTGACATAGTCAACTACTTAGTCACCGGGACCACACCTAAAGAGCTACCGAGCTCGAAGAGAGACAAGATAAAGAGTGACTCCAAATATTACATGTGGGAAGATCCTTACATGTGGAAGAAAGGGTCTGATACAATCATCCGACGATGTGTAGGTAATGATGAGGTAACTTCTATTTTAGAATTATGTCATTCTCATGCATGTGGTGGCCATTTTGGCCCAACAAGGATAAATTGTAAGGTTCTCGAGAGTGGCCTTCTTTGGCCATATATTTATCGAGATACATATATGTTTTGTAAATATTGTCCTCGTTGCCAACACACCGGAAATCTGAGCCATAGGGATCAAATGCCTTTGACCCCCATTCATGCTTGTGGGATTTTTGACGTTTGGGGAATTGATCTCATGGGCCCTTTCCCATGTTCTTTTGGGTTTTATTACATATTACTTGTCGTCGATTACGTCTCTAAATGGGTAGAGGCGAAAGCGACAAGGACTGACAGTGCGAAAGATGTTTCAGATTTTATGAAGGATAGGATTTTCTGCAAATTTGGATGACTAAGATATCATTGATAAAACGATCAACGATAGTTGAAATCAACAATAAAATATTCCCTTTGACTAACCATGATCTTGTCTTGGATTATTAGTAACGTAAATATTTTTCTTTGACAACCGTTGTCTTTGTTATCTATTGGAAGTCATGATACGTAGTCAATGACTATCCATATCATTAATACACTGACGGTAACTAACGACAAGAGTAACGCTCATCATTATGATACAATCGTTAATTCATTAAATCCATTTATTCACAACGATTATCATCTGTTACTTAAGGGACTATAAGAAGGCCAGAATATTCGAGCAAAGGGATAACGGAATACAACCGATTACAATATGGTCAATGAACGCTCTCAAGCATACACTCTATTACACGACAAACAAGCTGCAAGACGCTTCAGAAAACTTTATTTTATTTTCTTATATTTCACACGACAAGTTGTGATTTCCTACGACTAATCCTTGTAATATTTGTTATTAAGGATGACGTCCCTCTTTAACGTCCATATTACACCGACAACCTCTTCTACTGTCGTCAAAGACCTTCCAGCCTAGTGGTAAAGGCTTGGGCATGGCATAGTCATGAACCCGAGCTCGAGCCCTGGGAGGGGAGTGTTGGCGACATTTAAGTGGGGTCATGCTTAGCCTCCAAAATTGCCGGGGATTAGTCGGGCTTTGGCCCGGACACCCTTACCAAAAAAAAAAAAACCTCTTCTACTGTCCATGGTTTTTTATCCTCGATGGGGTTTTCCGTGTCACCAAATCTCTTTTCTCATTTATATTTTTCACAATGTTTATCTTGTTTACTTTAAGCGATCATTCTTTAGTTGAGTAGGCTCGTGATCCAAATCCTGGATTATACTTGTGTAATTTTTGGCATAAACACTTGTTAGCTCAAATTTTCTTCAAGACAAAATTCAACGGATAATTAGTAACGAGAGTAATAGTATGACTCTCAAAATAATGTCAGTTTCTTTGTCGTAGTTATCAACGACAAGAGTAACTTTTCCATCGATGAATAACTCTTTTTGATGTCTAACATTGATTTACTAACGTAGTAAATCGGTAGCTCTTGCTTGTTATCTTATCGTGTCAATATAGCACTGACTGAATTGGACTGGCAGGTAAATGAAGTTGTAGAACTTCCCCATCTAAGGTTTTGGATAGTAGGAGAGGAGATGACATAAAACTTTCAAGCTCTAAAGAGATTTTTCATGTTCGCCTGTCCACTTAAACCCTTTATTTTTTGTAGGACATTGTGAAAGATATGAATTTATTAGAAGAATGAAAGATGAACCTATTCAATACCGCAACTCCACCTGTGAGACATTGTATCTCTTTTCGATTCTTTGGCGATTGTGTGTTAACGATTGCCTTAATTTTCTCAGCGTTTGCTTCTATTCCTCTTCAAGTGACCATATGACCTAGAAATGTCCTCAATTGTATTAACAACACTGTTAAAGCCGATAACCACTGTCAATCGTCTTATAATTTCGTTATTGGCGATGTCCTTGCTATGAATAATTTGGAGGAAGATAACGTTGGCAGAACTTCCTTTGTCAGCTAGAACTCTTCTCGTCGAACAATTTCCAATTGTTAATTGAATCAATATACCATCGTGGTGTTGCTCGTATGCGTAGTTGATATCTTCGTCATTGAAAGTAATATGTACAGATCTTCGAAGTCCTTAGACCTGTTTACCCTGGAATTATGTGTCTTGTTTGGTAATTTATTAGCATGTCTTTTAGGAGCAAAGTATGTTAGTCTACATATATCTAAACCACCAGTTATACAATTAACTACCATAGTACTATTGGGTGATGGGGGTTGTGTATGATTTGTTGTGGTGACTTCTTCCGTAAGAAACTATTGTAGATTCCCTTTACGAATAAGCCATGGTATTTCTCTCTGAACAACGATACAACCATTTGTCGTATCTCCTTGGTTGTCATGGAAATTGCACCACTTGGTTTTATCTTTTTGCATGCCTGACTTATCGTTCTTCTCGGACCACCTCACGGTTGTCTTCATTTCTTTTAGAGCTTCAATCACTTCTTTCATCGTTACTTTGGACCCGTATTTAGAAATTTTTGGGTTTGCCAGGGTTTTCTTTTTATCAAACTTGATGTTCGAGCTCTGACGATGTTGTTCTTGTCATGGATAATATGTTGAGTCAAAAATATTGTATTCAAGTCCTTGTGCTTAATATGTTTTAACATTGCTTTATACTGTAAGTTTACAAGCTTTGAGAGCTCAATAACACTTTGTACTTTGACTTTCATCAATACACATGCCGGCATATTTGAATCTATCGCTCAAGTCTTGGAAGATTTCTTATCTTATTGCTCAAAGAGTTGGAAGGTATACTTGGAATTCGTCCAAGTGCTGATTGATATCTTGTTCTCATCGTTTAAGATTATTTGGTTCTTAAA